GATAAAGGACAGTGCAAATAAAAGAAGTTTTGTGTGATGGCTACCCTTTTTTGTGTCAGTTTGGCTAGGTTATGGGGGCCATTTGTTTAGTCAAATGTTAGTCTAGACATTTCTGTAAATGTATTTTGCAGATGTGATTGACATCTACCATCAGCTGACATGAAGTAAAGGAGATTACTCTTGATGATATGCAAATGCCTCATCCAATCAGTCAAAGGCTTTAAAAGGAAAAACTGAGACTTTCCAGAGGAGACTTTTACCTCAAAGCTGCAGCACGGAAACAAATCCTTTGTGGTTTCCACACTGTTGGCCTGCCTTGTGGACTTCAGGCTTGCTGGTTCCATGACTATGTAAGCCAATTCTGTAAAATCTCTTCATTTCTCTGTCTCCTCTTAGTTCTATTTTCTTGGAGAACCCTTATCAATATAGTGTGTAAATGCCATTTTTAGAAATACACAGTTTTGTTTGTTTTATCATGGTGAGTATCTGGTTTCTGGAAGAAGGTGATAGGCAATGCATAAAAAACTGAGGATTATTTAATAGACACAAGTAAATTCAGCTATGGTTGACAGTAGATGGAAATTCAAAAGCATGTCTTTAACGATGAGAAGCACTTAGGAAGTAAGTGTAAGTTTTGGCAATATCTTCTCAAAAGACCTCTGCTTCCCATAAAGTGGAACAAATACAGGCATAATTATGCATATAAAGTCTAAAATTAAAATTCTTGTATTAGAATGATGGTGTATTTGGGTCAGATATGCTTAATATAAAAAAATAATGAAAGGTGTTCGGAGTTGGCTGGAAAATCTATCCACAGGAGCCCTGAAAACACTACTTCAGCCCATCATGTAATACTTATTGAATACTTAGTGGCAAAAAAACACCCGGTGCTGCTTGGTCAGGCATAAAAATGCTTGACCAAAATTGACTTGTTTGTAGTGATTAATGAACATTTTGTGAATGTAATTTCTCAAGTAAGAACAGAGTAGAATTTTCCAAGATTAAATTTACAGAGAGATAATTCTGGGTGACATCCAAAGAAAAAGGGGTCTGTGGTTAAATTTAGGGAATACTGAATTGTACACAGTAAATTGTGACTCTTCAAGGGCGCTAACCTAGATTGTTTCCAGAAGTAGTTTAGTTAAGGAACACATTCTTCAAGTATGCCCACTAATCTTGCATGGCATACTGGACCTTGAAAACGAAGTCTCTTCTTTATTGTTGCATTGGGCCATTCATTTGCCTTTTTGGAGTTTCATTCTCTCATTTTTATCAGTGATGTTTACATATCAGAATTGGTTTTGAAACTTCAGCAAGGTACTTTCAGAAATGATAAAGAACTTTAAGAAATCTAAAATACTGCCTAAGTATGTAGCATGTAGTTGGTTGCCTCTTTTTTTTTTCTTCATTGTATCTGAAGAACTCATTTGAGGTTAATTTCCTAACATTAGGGAATATTTGTGTAAGGTAGGACTCAACCTTCTACCGACACTGCAAAGGGACAGGCATTTTACTTCCCAGATACTGGCAGCTAAAGTCTTGAGCATTTGACCTTGACTTAGTTAATGAAATTCTCCCTGCTGGGACTTAGAATCTTGAGGAGTGACCAGGGATGATTTTGGTTAATGTGACTCCAGTTACATTTGCTATAAAATCTATATCTCTACCATAGAACTCTATCTACCACGAGATAAATGTAAAGTCCTTCAGGTAATTAATTATAAATATAGACGTTTTCCTTGGCTTGTATTGGTTTGAGAGGTATTTATTTGAAAGGTATGATCTTTTTTTTCAAAACTAAATATGTTGAGTTAGAACACCTTCACTTTCCCTGAGCAAAGAAGGCACATAGAAATATTCTCTACAGTGTACACATGATAAATTGGATTAAGCTGAAATCAGGTTTTTAGAATTTTGACCCAATAAATTGCTCTGAGGAGTCGTCATTAACAAAAACTTGTTCAGGCCACAGAGACTTTCTTTTTGTAAGGTAGATGTTACTTAATCCCATACAACCTGCACCTGGGAGCAAGGTTTTCTCCAGAAGGTGGTGGTGATGGTTCTTAAGGAAGTGAGTAATCCCAGGCTATTTATGATAGAAGCCTGGCTAACTTTTCCTTAATGGTACCTATTAGGCCTGAGGAGCAATTAAGGAATGGAACTTCGTGTACTGGGAATTTGAAAGTGGATACTTAACGTTGTGAATCTTCTAGAAATAGATAGAAAACAGGTGCTTGTAAGGTGGGGGCTGCCTATCTCAGCATTTTTGTGAAAATCACAGGGACAGTGCTGAAGATCAATGTGGTGACATCCTTGGTGACATTTATGATCTGCATTGTTTTTATTTTATAGCAAATTATCATACTTCTCATTGTATAAAGATACTGTAGTTAATAAAAAGCAGGAAGTATTCTACTGGTCTCCCCAGGAGCTCTGGTTTTGCTTAGGTAAGGCCATCAGATGTTGTTCCCAGGGTGGTTCCAGCACTAGATCTATGAGAACAAGGCAAATAAATGTTAGACAAACAGCTAATGGGCACAATCATAATACTGCTCAGCAGAAGTTTATAAGATCAGGTTATTTTTATGTTTTAAGAGAAACCTGTCTAGCATGACCCATATATCCACTGTGACCCACCTGATGGGTCCAGAATAAAAATGTAAGAAATTCCCAAAACCTGTACATAAGGCCATCACTGTTATGCCAAGGTATATCATAGCTTTTCTTTTCTTTGAACTAAGGATGTATGTAGCTTTGTGCTCTGAGAATGTTCTCTGCCATAGCAAAAAACACAGTAACCATGAGGCTTCTTAGTCATGGGATTGAGATGATAGTTTTTTATTTTAGTAAAACACTTAGTGTAAGTTCTTATCAAATCCCCTTCTACATTGTAATGAGCCAAATGTGTCTCCGTTTTGATTCCCGCCCCCCCCAAGATACTACAGCAGTTATACCATAGTTCTATTTGCACCGTGCAAGAAATTCTACCTTTCATTGTCCTGTGTGAGGTTATGTCTGAGGATGAGACAGACACACCTGTGTTTTCCTCACTTGTTTCTTTCAAAGTGTAAGCACCTGGCTATGCTGAGTTCTTAGGTTTCTCTCATGTAAGCACCTGCTGAGTGTAATTCTGGTAGTGCTTTCTACCCAACTTGAATCTTCAATGTGGACCAAATCCTTTATCTGTTGGCAACTCGGGGAACACCATTTCCAAAGCTGAAGGAAAAAGATAACTAGATTTATGGGATTTATTAAGAGACCATAATTCTCCAGTGAGACCTACAAATGTGGCCACAATCCATCAATTTTGGGGCTTGAAGAAAGAAAGTGATCAAGGGGACCACTAACTGTCCAGATGACAACTCAGGTTTACAATGGTTTTAGTTAATCAAATAGCATCACACTGTTGACTGGAAGACCTGAATCATAGGTGTCCTTGAGGATGAGAACACCTTGAGACAAAGGCTTCTGCTTCTACAAGGCCAAATCTCTGACGAGATGAAGGCTTTCACTGAGAAGACCGGCAGGGCTAGCCAGTTGGTTTAACAGTTGTAGGAACTGCTTCCTACTAAACAATATGTGCCACTTCAGTCATTGGAGAGCTGATGTGTTCTAGTAAGAGAAAAATCAAAAGAAAATGGATCTATTCTAGAGCAATTTAAAATCTGAAAAGACTCTCTGGGGGAAACTTGTTTTAGTTTAGATTTACATCTGTAATAGAAGCAACTGTAGCAACTTTGCTATTAGCAAATACTATTAGAAATACTATTAGTATTTTTTTTTTTAATTTTTTTTTTCAACGTTTATTTATTTTTGAGACAGAGACAGAGCATGAACGGGGGAGGGGCAGAGAGAGAGGGAGACACAGAATCGGAAACCGGCTCCAGGCTCCGAGCCATCAGCCCAGAGCCCGACGCGGGGCTCGAACTCACGGATCGCGAGATCGTGACCTGGCTGAAGTCGGACGCTTAACCGACTGCGCCACCCAGGCGCCCCTACTATTAGTATTTCTTGGCATTTTATACACATCACCTCACCTTCATCGTTACAACAATGCTGGGAGGAGCAGTTGTAATTTTCTTTTTACAAAAAAGGTAACCGAGCTTTAGGGGGTATAGATAACTTGCTCACAGAGATGGATAGTTGGAGTGGAGATTCTAATGTAGACTGGGTAATTCCCCAAATTTCTGTGACCCCCTCCATTGTACTGCCTCTGAGTGTTAATTTTCTTTTTTACTGTTTCAGATGCAAATAGTTTATATTGAAAGCCTGAATGTGGTAGAAGAATTTAATTTCCTTAGTCAATGGTTTTTGCTTCCACATCATTCTTAGGAATGTTGTCAGTAAATTAGCAAAATAAAAATCTTACAGTGGTGAAAAGCCTCAGTTCAAGTAAGGTCTGAGATAGACCCAAATGATTGTTTTCATCACTTTAAATCTCAGAAGTAATCTCTTTAAAATGAATATAATTAAATCTGGAGAGAATAATTTTGTTAATTTGCAGAGTTGAGGTCACCTTCAGTTTAAAGTATGGGGTTCCAGCTTCTGTTCTTAGCCTCTTCATGTATTTTTTAATGGGTAATAAGCGAGTGAGAATATTTCAAACATGCTTTAATTTGAAAAATGCCTTTCTCCTCCTAAGAGCCCTGTGGTCTTTAAGACTTGATGAACTCGGTCTTTAAATATTTAAACTTTTAATTCATCAAAATCCTTGAAATGATCTCTATGCTGTCATTACCTTAGATGTGAGGTTGTAATAGGTACGTATCAAGCTGGAGACCTGGTTTCTAGTCCTAGACAGGTCAGAAGTTGGTTGTGTATGCTTGTATAAGCTCTTTAACTTTTTTACATACTTAAGATTTTCATCTGTAAAATCAGTTTGAATAGCTAATAGAAAGGAGACTATTCAAATGCTGATTTTTAAAATACATTGTGTAAATGTACATTCTTTGCTGCCTTCAAAAACTATACTTACCTAAGACAATACACATGCATCAGGACTATAGGGTATTTTTCATTTCAGCCTCAATCTGCAATGAAAAAAATGTCTTCTAAGTCATAAAGTATTTTGTAGACTGTTGCAGATGGTATACAAAAATGTGAAACTTGCTTGGGGAAAAGATTCTTGTCAAAATGTCGTTTCATATTTATTTATTGGCCATCATTCACGTTTGGTTCTATACTGTCCCTGCTCTTAAAATTTACAGTGTCCCAGGAAAAACAGACCAGAAAAAAAGTCAATAGTTAATAAGATCTAATTATTGGGTGTGCACAGAGTACAAAGAGAAAACAGAAGAGCTTGAGTGTCAGGGAAGGACTCCCAGAGGAGGTGAGGTTTAAATTGTATCCTGAAACTTGAAAAATTTAGTCAGGATGAAGTAGAAGGATTAGGCAATAGGGGATGAGTCATAATGTGCAAAATCCTTGAGGTAAGAGCAAGCTTAAGGTACTTGAAAACTTGCAAATAGTTCAGGAGAGTCAAAGGAGGAAGAACAAGAAGTAATGGTAGATCTGACTGAAGGGGCAAAGGTCCAAACGCTATTTAAAAACAAAACAAAACTTTAGATGCAATGGAGAGCAATTATAGGAATGTATTAACTATTTGGTATTTTACAAAGATTATTCTGATCTCTGTATAGAGAAGAGGTTAGGTGTAAGAAAAGGAAGGGGGGTGGGGATACAAACAATCGGGATGCTGTAATCCAGGCAAAGGATTGCCTCAATTTAAGTACCAGTAACTTAGAAGTAGATAGGGAGACCAAGATACTGAGGTGTTAGAATCATAGAATCAGTAGGATTTGGAATTTGGACGAATATGGAAAACAGGTGAAATACAGTAGTATTTGTTATCTTAGACAGTGGGTGAATTGTGATATTCATAAATTTAGGAAATACAAGAGGAGGTTTTTAGGGGGAAGATTTGGGGCACGTTGAATTTGAATTTCTTCTGGAACAAGAGAGCCCCATAAAGTTGGATAAAATGCTCAGTGCTGAAGGAAGAGATCTTGGCCTGAAGGTAGGGATTTGGAGATTAAAGGCATGTCTTTGGATGAGAATGCTCAAGGAAAATGTACTATAAAGATCAAGGAAGAAAACTCTGGAAAGGAGGTAAAGGATGGCTAGAAGAGGACAGTATAAAACAGTATGAGAAGGGAAAACTCCTAGAAGGACAAAAGGTAGAAAATGATGATACAGACGCCAAAGAAATTGTTTCAAGAAGGAAGGAATAGTTGTGGGTGTCAAGTGTTTTTGCAGAGAAAGCAGGTAAGAAAAGGACTGAAAAACGTTGGTTAGATTTAGCAAGAAGGAGATGGTCAGTGTAATGTTATTGTTATGGTACCATCAGAAGTTCTGTGAAGAACTAAAGAATTAACAGGTGTGAGGAAAGAGAACATACTATTTCAAAAATCTCGGCTGTAAGGGGAGGAGAAAAGAAAAATAATGAGGGAGTAGTGTCTAAAATGTCTTATTTAAGGTCAGGAGAGAAGTAACTTTAAATTGGATGAAGCCAGTAAAAAAGGATTGTTGAAGCAAAATAAGTATAACTAATGGAAGAAGAGCAAGGTAGTGGGATGGGTGGCATTCAGATGGACAAAGCTGACCCAGCACAATTTTTGTCCAACTTCAGAAATAATTTTGGATTTCAGTCAATAATTAAGTCTTTTGGTATCTATACTTTGATTTTTTTATCATTATTAGCTAAGTTGGGGCTGAAGTCTATGACCATGCCTGGAGTGAGAGTAATGGACTGCAAAGGAATAAACATGATTTTCCTAACATCTGGTAATCTTTGCATATTTCCTTAGACCCATCTGTAAAAGGGAAATTAAAAATAGTACCTTTCACTTAGAAAGGTTTTAGATTATTTTATAAATACATGCACGTAAGGCTATTATCCTTCACATTTAATAATGGCTTAATAAATGCTAGCTATGATGTTGAGGATCATAAAAGCTACTTCTAAGAGCTAGGATAAGCTGTAGTGGATATGCCAGTCTCCCCTGTAGTACGGGCGAAAGAAAGGGGGAGGAGAGAGTCTGTCTCCTCCTTGCCTGGCTCCCACTTGGCCACTTGTGGTTGTCTTTGTTGTCAAAATTGTAATGACCAACTCCAGCATGTAACAGAGCCTTTCTGAAACTTTCTGAAACCATATTTAATGTCCCTAGCACTCTGTTGGGATCTTAGAGGAGCATAGTAATGAGTTCTCAGAAGAATCCATGGTAGTGCCTGGACTGAATGATGGGTGGAGAGGAAAAAAATTAGAGTCTAATTTTACAACTGTTTCTGCAGCTAATGAGTTTCTATGAGATAATAATATAATAGAACTAGTTCTGAGGGTACCATGGTGAAGCTAAAAGCAAATTACACTGGTGGCTATTTGCTGGTCACTTCAAGATCAGGGTGAGGGGTAGGGATAGGTCAACTCCTAATGTTAATTTAGTCTGGTTCAGAAGCCCCTTTGCCGTTCTTCTAGTGGCTGTGCCAAGTATATTTAGAATGGCAGATAGAGGCAGATCCCTGGATATAAATGACTTTGGAGTCAGTGTAGTAGATAGGCATTAATTTTCAGGAAAAAATTTGTCAAATATACGACAAGGGGATTTAATAAATTATACCCCAAATATTACAGAGTCACAGGACAAATATGCATACCAAGCATTGAGAATCAAAGCACATGCTGTTGTAAGCTGAAGTCAGAAAGTAGAGGCAGCTTGGTTACCCAGCTGTGAGATGAGTGTGGAAAGGCCATCTAAAAGGCTCATACAAATAGCAGAGGTCTCATCTGAGTGCTCCAGACCATCAAATATGCGTAAGTGCCTCAACTCCATTTATCTCCCTCTTTGCTAGCAATTACTGAAAGACTGGTTGCTCAGCAGCACTGCTCCACACTTACTGGTTATAAAGCAAGAAAATAGTTACAAACCTGCCTTTTCATCATTGTAATTGAAAATACAAAGGTTTTAGATGGCAATATGTTATAGAAAGTAATGGAAAAGCAAGTCAAATGAAAAGCAAGAGACTTGAAGGAAGCCTGTGTTGTGTGCAGTTCAGTTTGTCTTGGATGATGTCAAAAAGGAAAGTGTAATTGGATAAGCAGATAAGAGGGACTAGGAAAGGGTTGTAGAATTGCTATTTTTTGACAGAATGTAAAAGAAAAATATCTCTTAAAATTGAATGAGACTCTCAGAGCAAAATCTGCTGATAACAACTCCTAGGTAAGGTAACTTTATTTTCCTGGGATAAGGCAACCTAATGCAGCTGTTGTATCACCAGCCCCCCCCCCCCCTCAAAAATAAACATTAAAAAGCGTTAATATGTTACCACCTACAGTTGGGAAAAACCCTGCACTGTACTTTGTTGTATTCACCAACCTTTTGTTAAAAAAGTTTAACTGCCTCATTTGCTTTTAAACTGGCATAACCAGGAAACAACTTTTGTCTTTACAATGAAAGTATCAGGAAAAGTCTGCCACATACGAGCATTTCAATAACAAAGGAATGAGTAAATCTGAGTACACAAGTTCTTAAAATACTGTTGGGTGATAAGGAGGGGGTTAAATTTTCTTACCTCTAAATCACAGTAGAGAGGAGGTGAGTTTATGGAACAGCACTTGGAGGCAAAGTCTGAACGCTTGTCAATCAGCCCTTGGAGTTCCAGGGCACTGACGTCAGGCAATTTTGCTCTTAATCGTTCTGCTAGTCTGAAAAACCATATTTATGTAAGGTTTCCATACTTGTATTTTATAAACCTTTCTCATACAAAATGATAACCCACTTCTGGTCTTTTACAATACAAAGATGGAAATAATTGTTCTTAAATTACGGGTCTGTGGAGTGATTCTTAGCGACTCAATTTGAGGTTAGAAAATGAAATCTCCAGCTCTTCTCAGATCCTAAAAGTAAATTTACAAATTGCTGCTAGATTTGAACTCCAGGCTTTCCCCCTTCATTTGCTCCATTATATCAACATAGAAGACTTCTTCTCCTATTCTTGCTGACGTTCTATCTTCTCTCCTGTACTACATTTCAAGTTCCTTAAAAAGACTTTCCCTGTCAGGACTTTATGCCACCTTAATCTTTTTTCTCTTTACTCACTTTATACAACTTCCCCCTCAGCGTGCCTACTTTCCAACTGGCTATGTTGGAAAACACAAAGAAGGTCAGAAACGGGCTCTTGTTTTTAGCTCTACTATCCATTATGTCTCCACCTCACTTTCAAGATGGTGCTAGGACTTGAGTTCTCTAGATTCTCTCCCAATTTGAATGGTCTATAATCTTGGTATCTCTCTATTGTTATAATGGGCAATTCAGTCTGGTTTTCTGACCTCCAGGAACTGTTGGCCAGCCCAGTTGTGGGCAATGGGAGGTAGTAGAAGCCCGAATTTATCTAGTTGGGGTAAGGTGGATCCTGGGAAAGCACAAGATGAGGGGGGCTGGTTTGCTTATAAAAGCATTACTGAAATGAGTTGGTCCCAGCTGGAAGGGGAGGCAAGTCAGACCAGGAGGAACTCCGAGGATGGAGAAAGTATGTGCGCGCGCGCGCGTGTGTGCATAAGCTGGTGCAGTGTTTCAAATACCTAGACTCTGTAGTCTGTCTTGTGACTTTATAACCCTACATGTCAATTCCACTGTATTGATAATTTCTATAATCTCAGTATGTTAAAAATATCAGTAATTGCCCCATGCGACCCTGGAGTACAAAACTTGGATTATCTGTTTTATGTTATTCTATACTATTTTTTTATAATTGGGAAATATTTTGAACTTCAGGCTTTCACAGTTTTTCATTTTAGAACTTTGCTAAAGTAGACTTCATTAGGGTCCTACTTTTGGGGATTCTTTGGTCTTTTTGTGGAGTTCCATTTGTGCTTGCTTTAGGCCTATGTTGAGCAAGATGATTTGAAATGGATGTGAGCAATCTACTTAATGAAACTAGGAATGCAATGGGTCTTTAGGAACCCAGCAAAATTTCTTTCACTTCTATGGCCGTTCTTGAGAAATAGGACTACTGACTATTGTACAACATTATTGATGATTAATTAACATTTGTATCTTCAATTTATAGAGAATACATGCTGGTCATGGGTGGTACTACCCTTGATCGAAAGTTTGGGTTGTTTGTCAGACCATCTGCCATGAAGTTAGATAACTTCAGTAGTTTTACAGTTCCTCAATTATTGATAGCAATTTCTACATATGGCTTTAGGGCAAGAATGTTGATGAACTGTGGGCTAATCTGTTTTTGTTTTTTTTTTATGAAGTTCCTATAGGTCTTATAAATATACTTTTGTGGGCTGTGTTCTAATTGATATCTCACCTGATACACATGACCATTTTTCCCCTCCAAAAAGAACTCCATTTAGATAGAACTCCATATAAATATCAGATTCTACTTTTTAAAGTCTCAAGCCTTCAACTATACTTTCAAATCATAATACCATGCTAATATTTTTGATAAATGTGGAGGAAACAGAAAATTTCCTTACTTCTTCTTAAACTCTGTAAAAGTGTTTTCTGAATAATCTGCACACAGTTTCTGTCCCTTGTCAATGAAAGAAGATAATTCCTTTTTCAGTTGAGGGCCCTGTAAGAAAACAATTACATAACAAAATTATTTGTCTTGAAGCACTGCTCTACGAGGCATTAATCAGAATTCTGTGTAATGTGTTATTATGTGTGTTTATTATCTACACCAGATATTGGCAAACATTTTCTACATAAAACCAGATAGTAGATATTTTAGGTTTTGTAAACCAGATAGTCTCTTTTATAATTATTCAACTCTGCCAATAGGACACAAAAGCAGCTATAAACAATGTGTAAACAAGGAGTGAGGCTGTTCTAATGAAACACTATGAATCCTGAATTTTGAGTTTCACATTTTAATGTGTCATAAAATTAAAAAAGATAGAAGACCATTCTTGGCTCATGGGTCATGTGAACACAGATATGGGGTCAGATTTGGCCCATGAGCTACAGTTTTCCAACTCTTGACCTAAACCAAGGTTGCTGAAGAAAATAGAGCATATAGTACCTGTGTATTAATGCAGGCAGCAGAGTCCTCAGACTCACAACATTCAGCAAGGCTTTTCAGGGTTGGCTCAAGGATTTTACTGAGGAATACTTCTGGAAGAGGAGTTCTCCTACTTAGTTCAAATATATATCTGGTATGAGAGAGAAAGAGAATGCTCTTTAACATGTGTAGATTTGTGTAAATGTTCTCTGTATTATAAAAAGGCAGATCACCTGACTTCTGCATCTTAACTAAAAATAAAAGATTTAAGTAAATGTGACTCCAAATTGACAGATTTTGGATTAATATTCTCATTGAAATGCAAATTATTAGCGGTTGCTTTGTAACTATTCTGACTAGTTCATAATGAATTAAAGCTCTGTGTGTACTATATATGCATATGTATATGTTCTATATAAACCTATCTATTTCAAAATAACATGGAACTAGCTTTTGTGCAACTATAACACCACGAATCTCACATAAAGCATCAAGTAAAAGCCTTAATTGGCTTTTCTATGAAAACAGATTTCTATAAATTCTTCCATTGTTTTATTCCATTGTTATCTATGCATTTATAAAAATCGTACTTGGACAAATACAGACTTCCAGCCTAAAGTTAGTCTCCATTCTGCTCTCTAATATTGATAATTTTCTGACCTGTTAATACAACCTATTTGTGAAGTATTTCTATGCAATGAATATGCATATACTTATAGCTTATGCAACTTAGGGTATATGCAGCAAGGGTGTATTTTTAGTTTTTGTTGGATCAAAACAGATAAAGGTTTACCCTTTCTTCCATTTAATTTCTTTGTCATTTAATGCTAGTGAATATCCATACTGTCAAGAAAAGTTACTCCAGTTAACTCTACTTACTGATCTATGGCTTTGGTGTTTCCTTTATCACATACGTCTTGACCTGTGGGCAGCTCGACAGCTGGCAGCTCTGGTGTTGGGGCAGCAGGCATGAAGTAAGCGCACATGAAAACGTCCATGGGCGTTTTTTCTTGACAACAGTCCTTAAACTTAGAATTCTTTGTGGCTAAGTTGTCACAGATCTTTACTGTGTATTCAGGCAGCTACAAAAGCAATTGTGAGTTTGTGCATTGTTAGTTTCTTGGTTGGCCTAATTAAAAACAAGGCTTGGGTGCCTGGGTGGCTCAGTTGGACTTTGGTTCAGGTCATGATCTTGCAGTTCACAAGTTCAAGTCCTGTGTTGGGCTCTGTGCTGATAGCTCAGAGCCTGGAGCCTGCATCAGATTCTAGATCTCCCTCTTTCTCTGCCCCTCCCCTGCTTATGCTCTATCTGTCTCTCTTTCAAAAACAAATATTAAAAAAAAAAAGAGGAAGTCTTATGTAGGCTTACAAACCTTGGCATGATATAGATGAAAAGTTATAAGTCAGGTTATAGAAAAACACCTATTAATGGAGACCTGTTTTCTTAGGTTGTTATCATCTGTTTTTTTCCCACTATTATTTCTAAAGCTGTCCAGACTTGGGGTGACCCTTATCTAAAGCACCAGTTCAAATTCCTATCTAAAGGATTATGTAAATAAAAAATGATGAAAAAAATTGACCATCAAGTTATAACAGGTATAAACATGAGCAGCTTTGAATAATAATTGTTGCAGTATTGTTCAGTAGAACTTTGAAATGATCTGTATCTATGTTATCTTATGCTATTGTACGTTTAAAATGTGGCTAGTAGGGTGCCTGGTTGGCTCAGTCAGTAGAGTATGTGGCTCTTGATCTCAGGGTCATGAGTTGGAGCCCCATGTTGGGTATATAGATTAAGTAAACTTTGTTAAAAAAATTTTTTTTCTTATGTGGCTAGTGTATTGAGGAACTCAAGTCTAAATATTATTTAAGACATTAAAATTAAGTTAAATAAGTGAAGTTTAATGATAATTAAACTGCATTGGGTTGTGCAGGAAGAGTAAGGAATTCTTAGGAATTAGATTATCTTGTCCTTGTGTGTGGACTTTGCCATTTACTATTTGCAAGACTTCAAGTTATTCATCCCTGTTAATCATTACTCATCTGTAAAACGGAGTTAATGACACACTTAAATTTCATGAGGATTCACTGAGTTGATGTATGTAACCAGCAATTTAGAGTGCCTGCCACACAGTACATGGTACATGATGATGATTCTCTTACCTCCTTGGCCATACAGTCCTCAGAGGTAGACTCACAGCACTTGGAGAGGATTGTGGTGATCTCTTCAGCTAGTGGCAAAACATCCTCCAGATCAGCAGTAGGCACTTTCTGGGCTAATTTTACGAGATGGCTAAATAGTTAAAAATGGATTGTTAGGTTACCCGTATTCTGTTCTCTTTTTCCCTGTGAACATACAGTCTGGAGGAAAATTACCATGGCTTCAACCCTTTGTCCTTGATAGCTGCGTGGAACACATCTGCTATGCAATGCTTCCTATGTGCTAGAGCTGCTAATCAAAATTCAGTCATCCTACATAAATCGTTTTGTATTTTTAGTACCGATACGTAGCTTTTCTTCTCGTCCCATCCCCTACTCGAAGCACGCCTTTAAAATGTTAGATCTATGACAGCAATAAAGCACTAAGTCCCTATTCATAAGACCAATAGCTTATTTTTGTGGCCCCTCATTGTACTTTTAAAAATAGTTTATAAATTCTCTTAGAAACTACAGATAAAAGAAATATGAAGACTTATAGCCCTAGATCACGGAATTAACAAATGCTGGTATTTTGGTATATAACCCTGAAGCATTTCATCAGGTTTACCAAGTATTTCATAAAGGATTCTGCTCTGCTACACTATTTATATATTTGCCTTTTTCACTTAATGATACAGAAAACATTCCTGATCTACAAGTATTCTTTTACAATTTTGGCAAAAACACATAATAGCGTTTGCATCTTAACTATTTGAGCATATAATTCAGTAATGTTAAGTATATTTACTGTAAGTAAATATCTGTAAATACAGCAGACTTCAGAATCTTTTCACCTTGCTAAATTGAAGCTCTGTACCCATTGAAAATTGACTGCCTCCACTCCAATCTTGTGGCAACCACATTTTTCCTTTTGTTTCTATGATTTTTCACTGCTTTAGATACTACAAAGTGGAATCACAGTATTTGTCCTCTTGTGACTGCTTATTTTGCTTAGCATAAGACGTTTAGGTTTCTTCTACCTCTTGGCAATTATGAATACTGCAATGAGTGTGGGTGTGCAAATATCTCCCTGAGATTCTACTTTGAATGCAAAAGTGGGATTGCTGGATCATACGATTCTAATTTAAAATTTTTGAGAACTCCATATTGTATTTCATAATGGCTACACCATTTTGCATTCCCATTAATAGTGCACAAGGATCTCAATTTCTCCACATTTTTGCCAACACTCATTTAGAAAGTGGCCATCCTAAAGGGTATGAGATGATCTCTTATTGTGGTTTTGGTTTGCATTTCTCTTATGATTAGTGATATTGAAAAGCTCTTCATGTGCTTGTTGGCCATTTCTATATCTCTTGGAGAACTGTTTAAATAACTTGATTAGACAGAATTGAATACTTTGTTATTGTTGAGTTATGGAAGTTCCTTAAACAGAAGCTTAAGTTTGATGTAGTTCCATTTATCTATTTTTGCTTTTGTTGTCTATTCTTGGTCATTTCCAAAAAATCCTTGTCAAATTCAGTGTTCTGAAGCTTTTCCTTTTGTCTTCTAAGAGTTTTGTAGTCTTAGGCCTTATGTTTAATCCATCTTGATTATTCAAATCTGTTGTAAGAGTTCAATTTAATTCCTTAGCATGTGGATATCCAATTTTTTCAGAACTATTTGAGAGTGTCCTTTCCCCATTGTGTAGTCCCAGCACCTTTGTTGAAAACAATTTGGCCAATTTGGATCTGTTCCATTGATCTACCTACATATATATAAATTTATACATTTATAAATTTATATATTTATACATTTATATATATGTATTTATGCCAGTACCATAGCATCCTGATCATTATTGCTATTAGTGTGTTTTGAAATTATAAAGTGTGAGGCCTCCAACTTTGTTTTCCTTTAAGATTGTTAGGCCTGTATAGAGTCCCTTGGCATTCTATATGAATTATGAATTTTAGGATGCCTTTTTTTTTTCTGCTGCTGTCAAAAATGTCACTGGGGTATCGATAGGGATTGCATTATATCTGTAGATTGTTTTGAATAGTATGAGCATTTTAACCATATTCTTACATTAATGATCATGGAATATCTTTCTATTTATTTGTATCTTCAATATCTTTTACTAGTAATCTATAGTTTGTTTTAATTATATTGTAATAAGGTATTTAATCCAAACTATGGCATTCTCCTATGGATATACCACAACTGATATAAGTATTCTCTATTTTAGGGAAATTTTGGAAGTTTCTAATCTATTCATATTTAAAAAGAAATGTTGCAGCAACATATCTACTAAATCTTTGTTCATGTTCAATGCTATTTCTGTGGGATAAATTCCTAGACACAAATGCAAGTATAAACTAATGATTAAGATCTAATACATATATATTATATATATAATATATATTATAGGTGGTTTTATATTATAAATCCTTATGTTCTACTTCCTAAATATATTACCTTAATGCAAAAGGAAAACTAAAGGGAAGGTCTAGAGAAAATGCCATTTAGTATTTGAATATTTATATTGGAAGATTCTTTTTAAAGGACTCATGAAAGTAGTTTCTATTACCATTAGAGAACCTTAGGATGTGATGCCAACACAAAATAGGCTTTTTCATTACCATTAGAGAAAAAAGTCTTGTGAATTATAGACTGTAAATACTGAAAAGATAAACCGCAAAGTCTAGAAGTCTGGGGAGATGAGAAAAGTGTTAACCTAGAAACTGTCACAATTAAAATATAGTGTTAACAGTAGCCACACAAAAATCAAAGTGAAGGTTATAAATAAAGTAGCTAACTAATTAGAATATATTCATTAAACTTAAGAGACATGCATGATATATAGCACAAAGCTTCATATAATAAGAATTCAGGAAGTCTCATCCCAAGAAAAAAATAGGTCAAGGAAATAACAGGTGATGAGTAAAAAGAGTTTTTGTGTTTGTAATATATACTAATATGAATACTGAAGAAACCACTTCTAGTGGTCTACCAGTTTTCCCAGAAGTATATGGAAAAGGTTGATTAAAAGTAAATGTCTTGGGGCGCCTGGGTGGCGCAGTCGGTTAAGCGTCCGACTTCAGCCAGGTCACGATCTCGCGGCCCGTGAGTTCGAGCCCCGCGTCAGGCTCTGGCCTGATGGCTCAGAGCCTGGAGCCTGTTTCCGATTCTGTGTCTCCCTCTCTCTCTGCCCCTCCCCCATTCATGCTCTGTCTCTCTCTGTCCCAAAAATAAATAAGTGTTGAAAAAAAAATTTTTTTAAAGTAAATGTCATATTTGACAATGTATACTTGTTCTTGATTCATATTTCATGTAGAGAAAAAGAACCGGATTATATTTTTGAGAATTACAGGAACATAGGACTATAGTCTATATATTCTATCACAAATATTTTCTTAGAGAATTCTAATATTCTAGATCGTGTAGACACAAACAGCTAAACATACTGTTAGTGCTTAATCTTTACCTGAGCCTTGATTTCTCCTTCCCATAAGCAGCGTATTGTGAACAGACTCTGTTTGACATAGTGGTGAGAAGTGATAAATGTTTCATCTGGAGTCTCTAGGAAATAAGTGACAGAACCTTATTAGATGGTCAAGATCCATTGAAAGCAGTTTGCAGAAATGGAAAAAAGAAACTACTATCTTATATGACTATAAAACTGAATTCTGACCAAAGGAACTTACTGATATATCTTTCCTAGAGGTGGTTATATTTTTTCCAATGAATGAAATGCAAAGGAGGCATTTTAGAAAGTTTCTCCTTCCAGAATCTGAACTACTATTACTTAAATTCAATGGCATTAATAGAGGAAAAAATAGAACATAACTACATAATAAAATGATACCTACCTCTTTCAAAAAGCATACTGTTGGGCTTGGTGAGGTACAGCAGGACCCTACCATAGAGAGATAACTCTTAGTATAACCGACTAAGAGTGGTAGAGGAGCTTGTCCATAATTAATGGAATATTCATACATAAATCTGTGGGAGGGGAAAATAGTATTGGTCAACATTTGTGGGAAGCAGAATCTACTTTTTCATTAGTTTGGTGGAAAAAGGATGTGTTACATTAGCTCAATTTCAATATCTAAGGCTCACTAAGGACTTAGAGATAGGATACTAGTCCCTTTTAATCAGTATTTTTAGTAAAGCAGTTTCTTAAATTTCCAAGTGGATTGAGAGGAGGGGCCATTTGTCTCTTTATCGTTTAGTGTCTACTAAGTGCATGGCCCATGATAGTTGCTGATTAATATTGAACAAACTAAAATGAAACACCTTTACCTTTCATCATCTATCCCAGTTGACTTATTCTCCACAATTGCTATTTGTAGGCTTATTTCTTGAAATGTTTTTTAATTGTTAGGAGTATAAGCCATAAGGGTCTATATGAGACTCTGAAATCTTGGGCAAAATCCTGATTATTTACAGGGATGAGCAAGCCAACCAATTTTTATAAAATCATGACCTTAATTTCAATTCTGAGGCCAATCTGAGCCACGTTGCATTTGACTCTTGGACATGTATTTTGCCATTATCCTAAATAGAATTGCATAGCTGTGTACACTTTAAATGTTTAATTTTCAGAAAAGCATGTTTTTTTATTCTCATATCCCTAGAAACAGTTGCGAACATGATGTGTTCTACCACATAAGTGAACATGTAATTTGATGATCTCCTTGATTAACATTCATGAGGAGCCAGATGATATATTGATTCTTCTATTAGTCTTGGAAGATCACAAAAATTAACATAAATGGAAAGAAAAAAATCTATCTGATGGAGTATGCAAGGATCCCTAGCATAAGGGGAATCACGGTAGCTGTCCAATATTTGAAAATGTCACATAGACAGGGGATCCAAGTGATTCTGCTTCAGGTGATAGAACTAAGTTTGGAAGTTTTAGAAAGTTGACTTTATCTCTGTCTGAGAAAGGCATTTATAATAATCAGCACTGACTGAAATGAGAAGTCTTAGGGAAGAGTCAAGTTCTTAATGGAAATTTCCTGGTTGCTGTAGAAGAGGCGTTTATATAGACTAGGGGGTTAGATTTGACACACTTCTGATTATTTTATGCCCTGAAGTTTTACTTATGAAAGCAGCTTACTGCTCAGCAAAGTCTTTGGGATCTTTCCTGAATGCCTCACAGATTTCATCATTTGTTGGCTCTACGTAGGTAGGAAATTCTTGTGGCTGGTGCTTCAGGGCAGCCATACAGAGTTTCTGTTCAAGGCCCTCTTTGGTACAGCACTCAGCAGTTCCCGGGTGCACTGGGAATGGAGAGTCACTTTCACAGGACTTAGCAGACAATGCTGAGGTCTAGAATGAGAAAAGAAAAACAAGTCAATTTCTATATGGAAGTTTCCAGGCTTGTAATTCTCCATGGAGCATGACCTGTTAGTCTTTAAATCTAAAAATTCTCATCGGTAACAAACTGTCCATGCCAAAAACTCTGCTGGATGACTTATCAACATGACAATTTACATAGTTACAGGCAAATACAGGGTCTTATGTTAATTACTCATTAACGGAAATAGAACCTTCATTAACAAGTGGACTGTGTTTGCAGCTGTTAGAGGTGGTTTTCTTTTGTTTGTTTGTTTTGTTTTTAGCTCAATGTTTCTATACGTAAATATTAACATACCTCGGGGTAAGTGAGGTCATTTGAAAAACTTCGCTGGTGATTCTGCTATGATCTCCCACCTGCTTTCTGCTGCAAATACCCCAGGGAGAAGAGTCACATCCTTCTATTAAATGAGCAGACTCTTCTTGACTGTTTGTCTTCTGCATTTGTTTGCATTCTCTTACCTGCTGGTGCTGGAGCCTGCTTTTGCATCAGGATCAGAGCCCAGATGCCTGGGTTTTACAAGGCAGAAACTGATTCATTAATTCAAAGAGGCAGCCTGAGGATCTGTTTCCTAAAGCCCCAATATTTATTCTCCTGTGCAGTACAGATTGAACACCACTGGTGCAATTTAATTTACTGCCTCAACACTGTGCACTGATAACATGTGGGCAGACTAAGCCCATAGTGAGGGCACCACTAAAGCAATTGCAGCAGCAAAATGTTCTTTTTGGAAAGACTTTGATACTTGGAATAAATGTAAAATAGAGTCCCCATGGGAAAAACTTTCTGAGGATTTACTAGGGAAAACTGCCTAGACATCCCTACACTTAATTTATGTTGGTCATCTTTTTAAAAACTTCGAAAGATCATTTCCTGTAAATGAAGCAAAGCAACATGATGAATTAACTACATAAGCCAAAAGTAAACCTCTCCTCCTTATCTCCTCCTCAGACTCTCAGAACTTAGGAATTCTTAGAAACTCCTTTTCATCCTTATCTCTTGTTGGTGAATTTTTTTTTTTTCCTTTCCATTTCTTTCCCTGGCAATTGTCCTTT